CAATCGTCTCTGCATTTTGATGCAGCTACTTAAAGCACATTTGCAAGGCTACAGAAGGAGACCGCATCACACGTTTGATCCAGACATGAGCTGCAGCGGAAGCGTGTGAACGACTAGCCGAAGCTCTGGCGGGTTAACAAAGAGTCTGTAGCGCCGTTAAGAACGTCAAGGTCTGTCCTGCAATAGGCAACGAAACACAGTTCAGTTTCTGTTGAGAGCTCTTCATTAGCTGAATGGCTGCCAGGCAAAGCTACAGGATCACACTTAGAGAAGCTCTTGCGTACATGCACAAAAAATACCACGGTGGTCAATAAAGCTCATCAAGATATGCACAGTGCGTACTTGCGCAAGGCGTGGATGTTTCGAACAAAAGTCAGCACCATCTTAAGACCTCCATGCGCCAAGAGACCATACAGAAATATAGCCATCGCAGGCGAAAACCTGGAGTAGCTTATAAATTCGTCGAGAGCAAACGACTACAAGGTGCATAGGATTTGTATGCAGGGCCAAGACTCAAAACCATAGTTCAATGGTTTCGTGTGAATACCCACGATACACATCCGGCTGCAATGCAAATGAAAGTTTTAGCCACGCCACTTCTAGGCCTCCTGTGTTGTCACACTGTTGACTGGGTGAGCCAGGTCACTTTCCCTGACGGTATGCTTCTACTCCCAAGGAATTCATTGTTTCTTCGTCTTGTCCTTGATGGCTTTTCTCGCTGGTTTTCGGGGCGTTCGGTAGGTGCCCTGTGTTCGTTCATTTGCGTATAGAACAGCCCGGGAACTACTGGGACATATCTGTTTCGGAGCACACTCCCGAGTTTACGAGCACACAATGTTCTGTCTCCCTTATCTGGAAGCATCTCCGAAACCCAGTGCTCGAAGCGATGGTAACGAACACTTCTCAATAAAAGCCGTTTGACAAACAGAGGAGCAGTAAAGGAAATGTGCGAAACTAGAGCTTCAAGGCAATAATAGGTATTTACGGATATTTGTACGCCAAGAATTGATTACTACAGCATTATGAGCTCAGAAAAGCAGAAATTCTGAAGAACTGCCGAATTGTAGTGGCCACCGGGAAATTTCAACCTTTTTCGCATCATGCAACTTAGCATGGGTCGTGGCTTTGGAGAGTACAACAGAACGAGCAGCTTTCACTGCAGAAAACGCTTTCAGAGTTAAGGATAAAACTGGATGAGGAAAGTGCACTGCTGAATGAAGAAAGGATTTCACTGACGTTTTTCCGTTTTTTTTGCCCGCACCAACTGCCATTTGCTCAGGCTTTTATTCCCTTGTTTCCAGGCGTTTTCGGGTCCTCCTTGGCATCATTATTTTTAATTCTATACAGCTACTTAAAACGTAGCAGCACAGCCGGCGTGCTAGATTCACCTTCTCACCGACATGCTTTCAAAGTAATCGTTCCAGTGGTGCGTAATGGCGGTGGGACCATGGTGGCTGCACAGCAGCATTAGCACCATCTACTAGGTCACTGTTTAATACCATGTTTTTTATATTTTTGAAAAGGACATTTTTATTTGTTCCAGTCTGAGCTCGCGTGTGCTACACGCATGAGAGCATTCGCATTCTGCGCTTTGGTATGTGATTGAATACTTGTTGAAGCGTCCCTAAATTGATTTTAGCACACAATAAACAGTATACGTATCACTTGTGATTTACTTTTTAAATTGTTTTTCAGTTTCGAGCATTCCCCGAATGCTCGCATGCATAAGAAGTGCAGAAATGCAATGCTGCTCAATTGGAGAGCTCCTTACTTGGAAGGTGCATACTTCAGCAGAATTTACATGTATCAAAGGCAAGCCAAAATTGTTTTGCTTCTATCAGCTGTCAAGGTGCCTTTGGAGTTTTCTCCGTCAGCGCAAACTAAGTTGAGCCAGGAATGGTAAACTTAGCGAGGGCAGAAAACTTCACAACATTTCTGGTCTCCTTTCCCCATTCTTGATTCCAACCTCAATGAGATTTTCACATCCTTTTTCGAGTCTGCATTTACTATTTCGCCGGCGGCAACGCTTGAAGAGCAGCGCGCGCTTGCAAAAGTGGAGCGGAAATGAGTGTGAACCTGTAGTTGCGCGCTTACACACTGTGCCTCAGCGCGAACATCGAAGCCGTAGAACGAAGTCATGTACACAAGTACACAGAGACTGGTCATCCGACGCTGGATCAGTGATCTGACGCACTGGACAAACTTTAAAACAATACATGTATGCCTTATACCTCAGAGGAAAAATAAAGACTCATTTCAAGTAGCAACAGTAACTAGGTAAAGAAAACTTTAGACTACAAATGGAATAAAAGATAACAGGTCGCAAAATTAAACTAAATTAAGCCGAAGTATTCAAGTGTATGTCTCGATAAAATTGATGCAAAATGAAGACCATGATTCATTGCTAAATGTGAATATGATGAAACAAATACAGGGAAAGCGGGCAGCCTACCTTTACTATACCATTGAAACCAATGAAAGGAGGCAAATATAAGATAACCGGCTGAAGCAACGAGAAAAAGAAGTCAACTGGCATAGCTGGGCTTTTAGACACATTTAGACGAAGAATAGATGGAGAAACGAACCAAAAGGAAGGGAAATGTTTAAGATATATACAAGTGCTAGTTATCATTCTGAGCATGTGCGGTTGCGTGAACTAATTTGGCCAATGTTGAAGCCAAGTAAGCACGTACCAAGCAGATGCATAAATAACAATACTGATAAATAGGGGAACAGACTTCTAGGCAGATAATTAGTGGGAGAAAACTTGACACAACGTGCTAGATTATCAGGCAAATAGACATCAGTAAAGGGAAGTAGAGAACACACGAGGAGAGAAAGGCAGACTAGATTGAAAACAACCTAAGCAACTACTGCATGTATGAAGAACGAGATGAAAGTAGTTCGAAACGGGAATGCGTGCGCGGCTGGATAACGGAAGAGAAAAGTGGCATACGTGAACTGGGGCCTGCAGCATTAGCTCACACCAACTATGTGAAGATCGCAGGGGTTTAGATAAAAAAAGAGACCTTTGCAGAATGCATTGAAAAGTTGTTCCTTCATATACTGAAAGCGTGTCATCTTTTGGTTACAATGGACAAAGCAGATCACGTACACTCATGAGGATGGGAAAGACATACATAGGGACCTTTGGCGGTTGCAAAGGAGATATACTAGGTAGCTATGAACAACTGGCAGCCGCTACAACGAAGCGCTTAGTAGCAAACATACTGCATAAAGAAATAAGGGCAACGGACCAACAGCAGCAGACACAAAGAAACTGACACAGAACACCGGACACACAGCGGGAGACACTGCGGACGGCCACAACTTTCCAAATGGCAGTGATGCGGGCCACCATGAAGGAGAATTAGAAACAGGGATTCGTAGAGAGGGTAAGAAGACAAGAAGGAAAGGGAAGGCGTTTCGGAAGAGACCCCCGGACTCACCTGGTGGAGGGGCGAAACTGTGGCACATTGCACTGCAGTTTGCCAGACGAATAGCTTCTGATGGCTGTCACATTTCGAGCTATAGAGCTGGAGTTTAAATTAAAATTATTACTCGGGGAAGCATGGCCATCCTTGCAGACTAGGTCTAGGTTTCTCAGCAGGCAGGCATAGATTTGGTTTGGCTGCGTCACTGGTGGTTGCTTCGGGAGAAGCACCGAACAATGCTTATTACTGAATTGCTATGCTAAAGATTCATTAGATGTTTCTGATGCTAAACTTTCAATGTTTACCCATGTAGACAGCAAAGCACTTCCACAGAGGCTAGATTCAGGACGGCTATTAGACGTATGCTGCTGCCACGCAGCTGTACAACGCCAGAAGGTAGTCCACAGGCATTCAAAGCAGTGGAATGTGGCGAGAGAAGCAACAATGGATTCGATGTGGACAGGCACCGAGCTAGTAATTTGGCAGCAACTTGTCCTAAGTAGACGTTGGACTTGGATATAGGTACGGGGAGTCACAGAGGCAGGCAAACAAGCAGCAAGAGCATTTAATAAGTGCACAATAAGGAACTGTAACTATAGAATCAAACCACGATGCCTCCACTAATGATGGTCTTAGAACGAAGTGCTCGCTTACAGTGAACGAACAAGAACACTTCGAGAACGCCAGCGCTAGTGAGAGTGACGCGATCCGCAGAGACAATTAACTGCCACCGTTTTGGGCGAGCAAAACCTGCGACAGTCACTAAGAGGCACAAAACAGCATTTGCAACAAGAAGTACCTGGCAACAGACAGCAAGACCACAAATGCAGGTACCGCTGACGCAGCAGACACTGGGGCAACAGGGGCGACGGTGCAAAGGCGAAGCGAAAAAGAAATAGTACAAAAATAGAGGCGAAACAAGCTAATGTTGAAGAATCAGGTAGCAACACAAACAGAGACACTTCAATTAAGCAAACTTTGTTGTTAGTTCAAACCCTAGCTGCGTGAATTCCTGCAATTGTCTCATTCTAAAATATATAGAAATTAGTTGAAGTAGTAAACACGGTGCTTCGTGTTGCGAGCAACACCAGTGCATGAAAATGAGCTCGAGTGCAGAGATTTGGTAGGCTGCGTGTAAGGCTACCAAGGTCTGCATAACAAAGTCATTTTTGCTCCGCAGTAGGTTCGGGCTTGTAACATGTCTGTATCCGGCAGGAATCTGTGTTTGCCTTGGGATTACGCGTTGCTGGCAAATCCCAGATCAGCTCAGTTCCGATGTTTTAAAAAATGCCATTTTCTTGAAGTCGAGCAGGCGTTTCTATACTACGACTACATTAGCAGGGGCTGGTGCTAGCTTGCCCAACAATAATGGTTGACTTAGGTGCTAGATTGGCTAGATTGCCTTTGGTGAGCTGCCAGTGGGATATATTCTGATATGTTGTGAGTTGCTGCACGCCAACCATTACAGCTACACATAGCGGCTTAAACTAAGCCCTCCTCGGGACAGCGAGGGAGCGCCAAACTTTGAAGACGTGTACACGCTTTCACAACCTACGGGCTATTAGAATGTTGAGAATGACCTCGCCTGGATGTCCTCAGGGCGACCTCTCGGAGGGGAATCCCGGAGAGGAAGTGTCCAGAGAAATCAGTTCTGGAGCTTCAGGTTTTCTTGAACAACTAGAATGGAAACATCATGAGGACTCTGGGAGCTCTTATGGAGATCTCTCCCACCGATATGAGGATATACTGAGAGCACTAGAGCCGGAGCCTGCTTAGGTTACACACCGCATGCTTTTACATTGCAAAACTCTATTGAGAGTCAGGTGTGTCACTCATGGAGAGGTCTTGAAGCTACCACTATGAGAGGAAGCAACAGAGGCCCTGGCGAGCATCGGCAGAATGTCAAGTAAAAGGTGACGAGAAAAAAATATCATCGCAGTTGAGGCCGCTTAGAAAGCTATCAGAAACTACCGAGGAAGTGGAACAACATAAAGAGCCGTGAAGATAGAGGCTAGCGAAAGAGGCATTAGCCTGTTGTGAGTACAGAGTCCGCCGTTATCTGGCATCAGAAAAGCACGGCGCTTAGCAGCGAGAGCGAACTTGGAAACTTAGAGAAATGTGACAGAGTTACAGTAGAATGGCACATTATGCTAGAGAATGCACTACGTCGGGCTGAATCTGGACGGCGCCTCACGGTAACAAGGGACCTCCAGCGCCTGTCCGTGGGAAGAGTGCAACTCAACATTGAACGCTGGAGACTAGGCATTGCTTAGGAGAAAGAACTGTTTGTAGTAGAAGTGGTAAGCCGCGGCGCTGAGCTGCTGTGACAAGGCCCAAAGCCAGAAGTGTCTTCCCTTACTGCAAGAAGCAGTAAGGGAAGGCATTGCAGCTACTCTTCAGACACGAAGAAATAGAAAACGTCCGCTAGCCAAAAATGCATAACAGCCTCTTCCGTTGCCAGCAGAAAATTCAATTACACGTCAGAAGCACTATTACAGAGTGTGTAGTAAGCCGTGAACTGGATACCGGAGGCAAAGTAAGAGGTGGAGCAAACCTAGGGGTTATCCCGCATGAATGCGACTGTGGCGAAAGCTATTGATTGAAAAGGTAACTGAAAAATTCCATTTTAGGGCTATATTGG